GGGACGCCACTGGAGCATGACTTGATTGATGAGCCGTGTGTAGGTCCGCGCCCAGGATCTGAACCCACGAACCCCAGGCCACCAAAGCAGATTTCGCAAACTTAACCACTATGCCACGGGGCCAGCTCCATTCATGTGCCTTCTTATAAGGACACCTGCCAGTGGATTGGGGCCCACCCTAGTCCGATCTGACCTCATCTTAACTAATGACAGCTGCAATGTGCCCATTTCCCAGTAAGGTCACAGACTTCAACATCTCTTTCTGGGGACACACTTCAACCCACAGTGGCCACCTGGTACGTGACCCCAATTTATCCTTCTGCCAACTGGACCCAGGGTCACACTCTTGCTGACTTGGAATGTAAAGGACAACTTTCTCGTTCTCTCCTCTCATGGCCCGTCCGACCCCGAGGTGTGGGGTTTCCGTCCCATTCAGCAATTGTGACGCTGTCTACGCGCAGTGAGCAGGCAGACCCCACAGGTCCAGGGCCCGGCCCCGCAGGACGGCCCCTGCTTCAGACGCCAGCCCCAAGTCCCGGCCTCTTGTGCTTCTGACCGGCCGGCTATAAACCAGGGTCACCAAGACCCCCTCCTCGGGTCCGAGAATTTGCTAGAACAGCTTGTAGAACTTGGGAAAGCTCTTTCCTATCACCCGTTTGTTGACTATAACTCAGGGACAGCCAGGTGGGAGAGATACTCAGAGTGAGGTATGAGGAAGGGGCGTCCACACCCGACCGGGGCCCCCGCCCCCTGCCCCTCCACATGTCCACCCCCCGGAAGTTCTCTGGACCCCTTCATCCAGGGTCTCCGAGAGGACCCAGTACACAGGCACGACTAAATCACTGGCCGTTGGTGATTAACTCAGTCCCCAGCCCCTCGGGGGAGGCTGAGAGCTCTGTCCCTCTGGTCACGTGGTTGGTCTCTTGGCCACCAGTCCCCGTCACTCCACTGGCATAAAGTTAGATGTGGTTGAAAGGGGCTTGTCACGAATAACAAAGGATGCCGTGTTTCCTAACACCCGCCTTTCGTGTGTGTGGGGAAATAAACATAGCGTAAAATTCACCATCTTCATCAATTTTAAGGGCCCAGCTCAGCTGCAAGAAGCACATTCACACGGTTGTGCCACCGTCCCCTCCATCCGTCTCCAGAACTTTCCATCTCCCCAAACTGAAGCTCTGTCCCCAGGAAACACTGACTCCCACCCCTCCCCCAGCCCCTGGCCCCCCATTCACTTTCTGTCTCTGTGGATGTGGCTCCTCTGGGGACCTCCTGTGAGTGGACCACACAGTGTGTGTCCTTCTGTGTCTGGCTCACGTCACTGAGCATCACGTCCTCCAGGTCCCTCCACGTGGGAGCAGGTGTCAGGATCTCCTTCCTTTTCACGGCTGCGTAATATTCCAGGGTGTGGATGGACACACTGTGTTTCTCCATCATCCGTCCACGGACACTGGTGTTTCTTCCATGTTTTGGCTGCTGTGACCGGCCCTGTTTTAAGCACTTTACGTATCTTAATCCATTTCATCTTCAAAACCAACCCATGAGGATGATTCCGTTGTTCCCACTCTACAGAGGGGACAGCTTGCCCTGAGTCGCAGGACCACTATGTCACAGAGCTGGGATTCCAGAGCTGGGTGGCGTGGCTCCAGAGTCACGATCGTGACCACGTGCCTGCTCCCCAACCCCCACCCCTCCCTGCCCCGGGTGTCTGCTAACGTACGTGTGCAGAATGGGCCCCGCCTGAGCACCCCAGCCTCCCGGTCTTGTCCAGCTCAGAGACTCCGATTGGATGAGCTTTACCACTGATGGGAACGTAGCAGCATACGACTGCAGCAGCCTCTACGGCTCCCGCTTAATCCTCACAGCTTCTCTGATGGGGGAAGGGACCATTGAGGCCGGGAGGGGGTAACCTGCCCGAGGTCACTCTGCCATTTAGGGGCAGGGCCGCCCTCACTCGCCACCTTGCACACGAGCCTTGCTTCGTAGACAAACCTAAGCTTTAAACCCCTTCCTTCCTACGAGCCTCGTGCACATGGCCCTGCAGCCAAACCCTGAGCCAACCCGCGGGCAGGTCTGGCCTGACTCCCGCCAGCTGGAGGAGTGGAATTCATGGCCCCCAGTCCCTGTCTCCCGCCCACCTTCAGAAGCAGAGAAGACGACATTCCCATTTTGCAAAAAGCAAAACTAGATGGCAGGGAGCCCCCACTGTGCAGCCTCGCCGAATGGCCCCGTCTGTATCAGCCAGCTACTGCCACGTAACAACGCCCCACAGACTGAGTAGCTTGAGAAAACATACGCACGTTCTCTCGCAGCGTCTGTGGGTCGGGAGTCTGTGCGTGGCTTACCTGGGGCCTCTGTGCAGGGTCCCTCCGGAGGCTGCGAGCCCACTGCAACCCAAGGCAGGGCTGGGTTTTATCTGAAGGCCCGACTGGGGAAGGACTCGCTTCTGAGGCCACTCCTGTGGCTGGCGGGTGTCATTCCTCGCTGGCTGGTCCCCACATGGACCTCTCCACTGTGGCAGCTTGCTTCAAAGCCAGCCCAGGAGAGAGCGTGCCAGCAAGACAGAAGTCATGACCTTATGGAGTCTAATCACAGACGTGACCTCATCAGCTTTATGCTGTCCAATTGGTTAGAACCCGCCAGCAGGCCAGCCCTCTCTCACGGGAGTGAAGAGCAGGAGGTGGGGAAGCTCGGGGGCCATCTTGGGGTCTGCCTGCCGCAGTCGGGGTGAGCAACAGCGTATCAGTCCGTGGGCTCTGCCAAGGGGCAGTACCATTTGCCACGTGCTTGCGTGGGCTGGACACCCTCGTAAGGTGCTTTACGACCCCAACGGGGTTCCCTGGGACCCGAACTGACAGACTGAGAAAACTGAGGCTGCACTGAGCCGAGCCACCCAGGAGAGCCCAGCTCGCGAGGGTGGGGCAGAGACCGTCCCCAGAGCAAGGACGCCTGCCCGGCACCCTCTGCACAAATGTGGGGAGCTTGGCCCCGCAACGTGGAGGCGCTCTGGACACTGAGAAGGTAGGCGCTAGTCCAAAGCAAGTTTCGGTTTCTACCCAGTTTTAACCAGAAAGGCTGGAAAGGTGAGGGCCCCTGTCTCTCCCCCAGGAGACAGACGCCGTCTCGCCCTCCCACTGCTGTCTCCCAGCGCCCGACACACGGCTCAGTGTGGCAGGACCAGATGAACTCTGGCCGGCCGAAGGCTGTCTCCTGGCCCCCTGGGGACTCCAGGGAGCCTGCAGCCGCCCCCCGCCCCCCGAATCTGGAGACCCTCGGGCCCTGCACGGAAGGCCCTCCTTTTCCACGGGAGACAGAGGGCACCGCAGACTACAGTCTATTGAAGTCACGTGACTTATGCCCCTCGGGGCGCCCCTGTCCCATCCCGGCTGGCTGTGTTTCCCAACGTGAAGGCTGGGAATTCGCTGCCCAGAGTTGCATCTGTAAGCCCCAAGGGACCCAACCATCAGACGCCACCTACAGGCCGGACCGGGTCCCAAAAGGACAGTCACAGACCGACCGGGGAACCCTGAGTAGGTCTGACCGTCTGATGAGCTGAACTTTGTTGAAATTTTAAGAGTGGAAGTTGTTGGCCAGAAAAAGAAGGCAAAAAAGGGATGAATTTGACGATGAGTCTTATCTCGATTTTTTTCAAAATTAAAGTAAAAGAACAAACAAGGGGGAAGGCGCCCCTCGGTGTGAACAAGCTAACAGGAGGATGACGGGGCTGCCGAAGGCTCAGGACGCGGCTCCTGGGAAGGAGGGCAGAAGGGCCTCTGGGGGCCACATTCCAGACCGCGGGGCTGCAAGGTCAGCAAGGTCGCGCCCCGCCCCCCCCAGGCGGCCCGAGGTAGGGCGGGGCCACGTGTGACCCAAGGCTCAAAGGGACGGGAAACCCCTCTGGGACTGTTCTGGCTGCTGGAAGCTTCCATCTCACTGCAACCACAAGAACCAGAGGCCAGCTGAGCCCGTCACGGCAGCCACACCCCGGGTGTCCCCTTCCTGCCAAGGAGCACAGGGACAGGCAGCGGACGGAGAGGGAGACAGAGCCTGGCGAGGCCACAGCGCCGGGTGACCAGCAAGGCTGGACCCTGCCTGGCTGAGTAAGGTACAGCTGCAGGTGACGGCCGTGGGGCCATGTCCTGGGACTTCGGGCAGGCATGTGCTGGCAGAGGCGTGTACATGGGACACAGCGCAGCTTGCAGAGGGAAGACCCCTCCGCTGGACCCCAGAGCCAGGTCCCAAGGCCCTGCCTCGGCCCGGCAGCATCCTGGTGGCCCCAGCTAGGGGCCACAGCTGGAACGCCAGCCCACCCGCCCGGCTCCCCCTGCCCTCGGCCTGGCTGGCCTCTGTCCTGAGAGTCGCTCGGGCTCGGGGCTGCACAGGTGGCCCTCGGTTAACATGACCTGCAGCAGAGAAGTCAGCCCAGAGCGGCCACCAGCTGGGCCCCCCGACTCCCGGTTCACTGAAGCCGGGACCTGGGCACCTTCTCTGGGGCCCGAGGCCCTGCTCCAGGGCGGCACCTAGCGGCGCCCAGTGGCACTGCTGCCACCACGGCCCCTTCACTCCCTAGTCCAACGCCAGGTCCCCAAGGCATCCACCTGTTGGAGGTTCCGGCTAGATGTACCCAGGGAAACACCAGCACAGGCCAGGACGGAGCTCAGCTCTCTGCCGAGGGGAGCGCTGGGCCCACGGGCCTTTGCATGGCATCCTGGCTGTGCCTACTCCATGCAGCCCAGCCCAAGGGGTGCTGGCCTGGGACCCTAATGATTCAAAAGGCAGCACTGGGGAAGGGAGCGAAGGAGGGGTGGGACCCCTGCTGGCGGCTGAGGCACGTCAGGGGCTGTGTCCCCAGAGCCTGGACCCGGCACTGTTAGGGAGCCGGAGAGAAGGGCGCTGCTCCACAGCACGCCCGCTGGGAGGGTCACCAGGCAGAAATGGCTCATGACTCCTCGCCCCCTCGTCAGCGGGACCCCCCACCCCCACCTCAGGAAGGGAGGAGACAGTTTCCACAGGTGTCACCTTTACTGCATCTGAGCACCGGGCCCGGCCACACACTCCCCTATGCACCTCCAGACCCACACGTCCTCGGGAGCTGGGTCAGCTAGTCAGCTCTGGCCCCGTGCCCACTGCCAGACCTGTGACGGGGGCGCTGGGAGAGCCGGGCGCACAGCCACCTCCACCGCTGCCGCCGAGGGAGCCGCCTCCCGTTTCCAGAAGAGGAGGGGCCGGGGGTCCAGCAGGGGCCCCTGCAGTTCTGAGCCTGAGGCGAGCCCGGGGCACTCGCAGCCCCCTCCCCGAGGCTCCGTGTACTTGGACTCTCCCCTGACCCAGGTCCTAGACACAAAGGCGGCCGCCCGGCCAGGCAGAAGGCACCTGTGTCCACCGTGGCTGGTTCCGTCCTGGCGGGACCAACCCCTTGCAGAGATGACCGAGTCCCGAGGCAATGCTGCCCCGGAAGCCCCCCGAGTCCGCGATGCTGCAGGAGAGGGCCGAGCAGGGGGCGGTGGGCCGTGCGGAGAAGGCCGCCTGGGCCGCCCCGTCTTCCGGGGGCCGAGCCCCTCCCCTCGGCCGTGAACCCCAGGGCCCCGTGGGGGCAGCCCAGCCCAGCCCGGCGCACTCATCACCGCGCCCGCCGGGGCCCGCGCCGCGGCCCTAGCGGAGGCTGCACTCCCCGCCCTGCAGCTTCTCCTGCTCCATGGCGCGCACCAGCTCCTGCACGAAGCGCATCTCGGAGGCCACCTGCTTGGCCAGGGCCTCGTAGCGGTTCTCCAGGCGGCTGAAGCGGCGCTTGAGCCCGCTGGCCCCCAGCAGCGCGCCCTTGGCCTCCTCCTGGGCCTGCCGCTGCAGCGCCTCGGTCTTGTGCAGCTCCTGCCGCAGCCGCCGCAGGTCCTGGCCGATGCTCTCGTTCTCCTCCCGGTACCAGGCCTCCTTCTCCTCGTAGATGGCCGTCAGCGCCTCGATGTCCTCGTGGAACAGGCGCCGGCTGTGCTCGAGCCCGCGCAGGCCCTCCTCGGCGGCCGCCACCTCCTCCAGCACCTTGGAGAAGCGCTCGAAGTTGACGTAGGTGTTGTTGGGGGGCATGCTGGAGTGCGACTTGATGGTGTACTCCTTGAGGCGGGACGTCTTCAGGCGCCGCCGCTCCGGCTTCCTGCCGCTGTCCTCTCGCCGCACGTTCCGGCGCCGGATCGCCTGCAGGCGGAGGAGGGGGCACATGGCGCGAGGGCCAGGAAGCAGAGGCCCGCTGAGGGCCATGTCCGGCCCTCCGCTTGCTTTTGTAAATAAAGTTTTATTGGCACACGGCCATGCCCATTCGAATACCTATGGCTCACGGAGCTTTCTGCTACGATGGCCCAGCTGAGCAGTTACACCCGAGGCCGCAGAGCCAAAAACACTGGCCCTCTGGCCCTTTCCAGAAGGCTGTCCATCCTGACCTTGACCTAGAGATGACCCCTTTCTGGGAAGTTTCACAGAGGGGCCCTGGATTCCAGCCCCCCACCGTCCAGGCCCACTCCCCTGTCACACCCGCCCTCCTCCAGTGGGAGCAGCCCCCCTTACCTTGATCCAGGAATGCTCCAGGCTCTGGGCGATGGTCATTCTCCTCCTAGAAGAGGCCCCCGCCCTGGTTACCCACACGTGTGCCATCTTCCCCCAAGGCTGGCAGGAAGAGCCGGGCAGAGAGCCGGGAAGGTGTTCCAGGCTCTGCCCACCACAGCTCTGCCCTCAGGCCCCTCCCAGGGCCGACCCACAGACCCCTGCCCCTGGGGACCCCCAAACCTCTAAGTCACCCTCCAGCCCAGGGGCAAGTCCCTGAAATGACTCTGAATCTACATGCAGAGAGCATCCGCTCTGCCGGGCCCACCACGAGGAGCCCATGAGGGGCCTGTGGGGTCTCCGTGTTTTCTGAGGGTTTTTATAAACAGGGTCGAGACCTAATGTTGGCGTCTCGCAAAGTCAGGCACCCACAGGAGGGGCTGGGCAGGTGAGAGGAATGGGTGGCACTCAACAGGGAGGATTGCGGCCCATGGTAGCGCCTCCCCGTGAATGAGGGCTCTGCAGGAGTTTTAGGTTTTTTCTAGAAGAAAACAGCCACCTAGACTTTTACGTGAAACTTATTTTAAACATTGGCAACACATGAAAAGCTTCTTAAGACATGGATGGGGTGGCCCAACCGGCGTCATCCATCGCAGTCTCCTGCCCAAGCGGGAGCCGCGTCTGATTCCCAGGTACAGGGAGGGGCCGGCTCGGAAAGACGAGCTCTGGGCCCCCCGCCCGTTCTGGGGCCCCAGTCCGCCTCCCTGCCAGGCGGCCCCCGCCCCCCGGGGCCCAGGGCGCCTACTTGGGGTCTTTGACGAGCAGCCGGCGGATGAAGTCCTTGGCCAGCTCGCTGGTGTTGCTGAAGTACTCCTCGTCGAAGTCATAGTTCACGGCCGAGATGTTGGTCAGCGTCTCCTGCTTGGTCTCGCCCAGGAACGGGGACGCGCCGCTCAGGCTGGGAGACGGACGCAGGGCTCAGGTCCCCTGCACGCGCTCGCTCCACGACCAGGCCGCGGCCGGGGGAGCCGCGGCACTCTGCCAGGCCCACCAGGGGCCAGATGCCAAGGATGGCGGCGGGGGCCCCGGACACCCCTCGCACCCGCATTCTCTCCCCCAGCCACGCCCTGGCCACCAACGGGAAGGCAGCAGAGTCACCGCCAGCCACCGACACGTGCTAAAGCGACAGCCACAGTCTCCGTGGAACCTCAAAGCATCTCCCCCAAAACGTTTAGTGACTCCAGGGGGCCAACCAGTAACTTCCCGGAGGGCCTCCTGGCCGATACCATCACGGCACACGGGCGGGGCGCCCACCAACGGTGACAGCGTCGGGTGCCTCCCTATGCTGCACTGAGGTGGCCACAGCATGCCCCTGGGACTCACGGGAACAAGTATGTACTGGTCCCCGTCCCTGTCCTCAGGCTCACAGCTGCCCAAACCCTTCAACTTCCTGAGCGATAAGAGCTAAGACGGTGGGAGCATCTAGAATATTCGGCGTCCTGGATTCTGAAATAGCTCCAGGGTGACAAAGATGCAGGAGCATCTTCTGTTATTCCTAACAAGCCCCCTTCAGCCGCACCCGAGCTTATGCTAATGAGGTGACTTCTGGAAAGCCCTAAGGATGGGGCTGGCGGCCAGGGGACCAGCCACGGGATTAGAGGGATGGCACTCTCATCGTCACCCCGACCTCTGACCTCCGACCTCTGGGGAGGGGAGCGGCTGGGCACTGAGCTAATCACCCACGGCCAAGGGTTAATGAACCCTGCCTAGGTGACGGAGAGCGGGGTTCCGGGTTGAACACGTCCACACCTGGAGGGTGGCGCGCCCCAGCTCCACGGGGACAGAAGCTCCGGTGCGTGGGCCCTGTCAGCTGTCACCTTCCATCTGTGCCTCCTCCTCTGGCTGTTCATCTGAATCCCTTATCTCAGCCTCTGATCAGCTGGTCCTGGGAAGTCAACTGTCTCCCCAGGTTCTGCGAGCTGCTCAAGCAAACTATCCCCCGAGGACGGGTCACGGGGCCCTGATCCACAGTCAGTCAGTCAGAAGCCTGAGACGGGAACCACACCTTTCTCTCCTGCACAGGGTCCTTCACTCGCTCACCCAGCCCCCACCCACAGCTCGCTCAGCCCCATGGCGACCCGAGCCCCTCCTCCTGAGTCTGCGGGCCCGGCGGGGCGGCAGGCAAGCCACCAGGCACTTACAGGATGTAGGTGATGACGCCGATGCTCCTGCAGAGAACACACGGGAGAGACGAGGGTCAGCTCGGCCATGGGGCGCAGCACCCCGACTCCCAGGGCCTCTAGACGGCGGGGGGTCCAGCGCCCAAGGCTCGGGGGCCAGGCGGGAAGCAGGGGTCTGCGCGACCCAGGCCAAGTCCCTTCCCCTCTCCCGCTCCAGGGGTCTCGGTGGGGACACTTCAGCATGTCTGGCTGCGCCTGCCTGTCAAGGCTCCACCGGCTGGGGTGGGGGAGGTCAGCGCATTGCAGCCACAGACCACGCAGGCGTGGGACCCTCCCCGGGGCCTGCTGTGCTCGAAGGCGGAGTTGGCAAACTTTTTCTACAGAGGAGCGAATATTTCAGGCTTTGTGGGCCACCAACGGTCTGTCACACACTCACCTGTTTCATTTTTAACTAACCCTTTAAAAAGGAGAGAGCCACTCCTGGCTCGTGGGCCTGCTCTGGCCCGTGGGCCGTAACCTGCCGACCCCCGTTTTAAGGCAGCAGGCTGGCCCGCCCACACCCCATGACACCAGGACCACAAGGATGGGCTGTGTCCCCGCCTGCAGCTGTGGCCGGGAGCTCCTGGGACGGGCAGGGGACACGCGGGGGAGCAGAGATGCTGCATCCCGGGGTGTGTGTTGGGCCCCCGCTGCCCCCACTCACCACATGTCCGCCTCCAGGCCCAGGGGCTCGTAGTTGACAATCTCGGGCGCTGCGGGCACAGGGAGAGAGAAGGCGCAGGCTCAGGTGCTGGAGGTGTGAGGCGGCCCTGGGGACGCGGCCTCGGGGAGCAGCACAGCCCCACTGGCAGGTGACCATCTGGTCCCCAAAGAAATGAAGGCACAGGCGGGCAGGGCCAGCTCTCAGGCAGGAAGGCCTGGACGGTGACAGCCACCAAGCTGAGGCCTTGAGCTCCCATGTACCCGACACTGGGGCTGGGAGGGGAAACCCCAGGGCAATGGGCCAGGCACCCAGGAGCCAGCCACAAGTCCTCAGGGACCCCCCCCCCGAAGCCGCGAGCCGCGACATCCCCGCAGGGCCTCACCCACAAACTCCGGGGTGCCAAAGATGTTCTTGAACTCATTCCCCGCCTCGATCTTGTGGGCGATGCCGAAGTCGATGAGCTTGATCCGCGGGTTGGGCACGTTCTTGTCCAGGAGCATGATGTTTTCTGGCTGGGGGGGAGCATGGCGGTGTGAGGGGGCCTCTGCGGCTTCTGCCAGCCCCGAGTCCCGGGAACAGCGCCCCGATTTCCCTGGCACCCCCTCACTGGCCCAGGCCTGAGCCGGTCCGTCTCCTGGCCCCTGGCGGCAATGGGTCTGGGGTGTGCGTTCTGGGCCCTGACAGCCAGCCCCTGCCGCTCTGTCCCGAGGGCCCCACGGGGCTCACCTTGAGGTCGAAGTGGGCGATGCGCTTGGAGTGCAGGTAGTGGACGCCGTCCAGGATCTGCTTGAGGAACTGGGTGGCCTCGTCCTCCGTCAGCGACTCCTTCTCGGCCAGGAAGTCGAAGAGCTCGCCGCCCGAGACCAGCTCCAGGATGAGCACGACGTCGGTCTTGTTCTCGAAGATGTCGTGGAGCGTGATGATGTTGGGGTGCCGGATCTCCCGCAGGATGTTCACCTCCCGCTCGATCTCCTCCCGGCTCACCCCCCGCCGGCTGGACGACAGGCGGCGCTTCTTGATGAACTTGGCCGCGTACTCCTTGCCCGTGCCCTTCTGCCGGCACTTGCGCACGATCGCAAACTGGCCGCTGCGGGAGGAGGGCCGGGGAGGGGAGAGGAGGGGAGGGGAGGGGAGGGGAGAGGAGAGGAGGAGAGGTGAGCGTGCGCCGAGAGGAACCGGGCTGCCACGGCCTCCTCGGGCAACACTGTCCCAACTCCTGATGCCAGGCACTGTCCCCACAGCCTCTGAGAATTTTCGTGGAAGGTGTTGCTATGTGAGCGCAAAGCGGCGTGTAACACGATGGCCACCTGACACTCCTGCCACAGTGAGAGGGACAGAAACAGCTCGACGCTGATCAGAAGGGCGCTGGAACCCATCACGGTGGGTCCGGCGGAATCTTATGCAGTCATGAAGAAGAACGGGGTGACTCTCCGTGAGCTGACAAGGACAGCGTCCCCGAGGACCTGCTCAGGGGCAAAAGCTGCAGAACGACACACAGAAAGAGCTCTTTCTGTTTCAAAGGCGTACAGGCTGTACCCATTGGCACAGATGGATTTACATGCGTCCACGTGGGAAAAAAGGTCTGGAGGACACAGGCTGACCTGTTACCAACAGACACTCTGGGGAGTGGTACTGAGGGAACGGGGCCAGTGAAGAGGGGTTTTTACTTTTTATTTGATATCATTCTATTCTGATTCAACTTTTCACAGCGTATTTCATCGTTTTGAAAAATCTAACAAAAAAGAAAGAAAAGTCACTGACTTCAAAAGCGCTTCTTGGGGCTGGCGCAGTGGGCAGTGGTTAAGTTCGCACGCTCCAGTTCGGCAGCCTGGGGTTCACAGGTTTGGATCCCCACTGCTCATGAAGCCACGCTGTGGCGGCGTCCCACATACAGAACAGGGGAACACAGGCACAGATGTCAGCTCAGGGACAATTGTTCTCACCACAAAAAAAAATTATAAAAAAAAAAGCTTCTTGTTCACTAGGCAGGCTGAAGGAGGCGCACCCAGTTTCAAAAGAAGAGAGCAGAGCGAGGACGTGGAGAACCCAGCACCCTCAGGGATGGCGGGTGGGAATGCAAAACGGGGCAGCCGCTGTGCGGGACAGAGTGCCGGGTCCTCAGAAGGTTAAACCAGAAGTTTCTGTGTGACCCACAATTCCACCCCTGGGTGTCCACTCAAGAGAAATGAAAACACGTGTCCACACAGAGACTTGTATATAGACGTTCACAGCAGCATTACTCCCAACAGCCCAAAGGGGGAACAAGCCAAGTGCGTGCCCATCAGTGCAAGAATGGATACACAGTGGGTCCATTCACGCCCCGGAATACGACGCAGCTGTGAAGAGGAGTGAGGCCCTGACACAGCCGCACGTGGACGGACCTGAACACACGACGCTCAGGGAGAGAAGCAGACACAGAAGGACACATGGCCTGTGACCCCATTGATGGGAAATGTCCTGAACAGGCAGATCCACAGACAGAGAGCAGGCACGTAGGGGCCAGGGGCTGGGGTGCGGTTGATTGCTGACAGGGACAGAATTTTGGGGGTGATGGAATGTTCTGGAATCACTTAGTGGTGATGGTTGCACAACTCTGTGAATGTACCAAAGATCACTAAACCGTACACTTGGAATGAGTGACCCATATGGTATGTGAATTACATCTCCTGACAGCTGTTATTTAAGAGAGAGACAGAAAGTCTGTTGACCGCATGCCAGGGAGCCGTCCAATGTCCAAACTCCTTTGCTGTCTAGGAACTCGGTCATAGTAACTTGCTTTAACTCGACAGTTGACTGAAAAAGGCCAGACTGTAAATACTTCAAGCTCCACGGGCCGCGTGGTCTCCGCCACAATTCCTGTATGTTTTCACAACCCTTAAAAACAAGTCTGAGCGGGCTGGCCCCACGGCCGAGTCGTTAGGTTCGCATACTCTGCCTTGCTGGCCCAGGGTTTCGCTGGTTCGGATCCTGGACACAGACATGGCGCCGCTCGTCAGGCCATGCTGAGGTGGCGTCCCACATGCCACAACTAGAAGGACCCACAACTAAAAATACACAACTATGTACCAGGGGGCTTTGGGGAGAAAAAAAGGAAAAATAAAATCTTTAAAAAAAAGCCAGAGCCCATTCCAGGCGCGTGGGTGGGCCAGACGACACTGGCTAGGGTGGGAGTTAGTGCACAGGCCATGGCTGCTGACCCCAGCATCAAGAGGTCACAGTAACACAACATGTCAGTGGACAGACCGATTCCCAGACCGAGAGCACACAGGCCAGGCCAGAAATTGCAACAAGGCACACCAGGGGGCAAGAGGAAAGAGACCACGCGACATCTTGGGGAAATAGGCAACAGCATGTAGAGGAGGAACGGCAGAGACGGGCCCTGGGGGCAGGAGGGATCCCTGAAGTTGGTGGCGGCAGAGGGAGGACAGGCCAGGCAGGAGACACAGACACATGAGTGAGGGGTACCTCTGCCAGGCCAGCGGGGTCCTCAGAAAAGCCAAGGGACCCGACTGGATGTGTCCCAGTCTGCGGGTCCTCCTGTGGTGCCCAGGACACCTGCAACTGGCGGGCACCTAGGCCGCTGCCCTCGCCAGCACTGAGGGGCGACAGCGCCCATGGCGGGCTCACAGGTACGCTCCGCACACGCAGGTGCGTGAAGTTCATGGCGGGCACATGGGAGGTGCGAAACCATCTGTGACCACGGTAGCCAAAATCACAACCACGTCCACAGCCCGGGACCCGTGGACGTGGCACCTCACACGGCAGAGGGGACTTTGCAGACGAATTAAGTTAAGGCCCCTGGGATGGGGACGACCCTGGATTCCCGGGGCCCAGGGTCACCCCAGGGTCCTGAGCAGAGGGAGGCGGGAGGGTCAGAGGCAGAGATGGAGACGCTGCGCTGCTGGCCGTGCAGATGGAGGAAGGGGCCCCAAGCCCAGGACGCGGCGCCTCTGGAAGCTGGAGGAGGCGGGACGCGCTCCTCCCCTGGGGCCTCCGGGAGGGCCCACCCAGCAGACCCATTTTAGAAGCCTGACTCCCAGACCTTTGTGATAATCAATGCGTGTTCTTCTCAGCCACCAAACTATGGTAACCTGTTCTGGCACCAACAGGAAACGCCACCACTAACATAAAAGCCAGGGGCCCAGGTCAGCCCAGTGTTCCTGCTCAGGTCCTGCCCGCCGAACCCAACAGCCCCTGGCCCGTGATGTTCCGGACCCTCTGAATCTCGGCTAACACTCCCCCCACCTGACATGCCTTCCCCTCCACCCCCGTCTATATCAAGCAAGCGAATTCTTCCAGCTCCCATCCCACGATGACTCCCTGACGACAAGGGCACCAAATGCCGAGCGGCCACCACGTGCCGGGACCGCCGGGATGAGCGCTGGACGTGTGGCCTGAATTTCCAACACAAGGATTCTTTTCTGCTAGCTTTACTCTAAGCTGAACTAACACACAAAGAGAAGTCAGAGCGGACTCACGAGAACAGGTAAAAAGATGCTGTTACGGGCTGAACCGGGTCCCCCAAAAGTCCCTAAGTTGAAGCCCCAACCCCCAGGACCTCAGAATGTGACTATCTGGAGATGGGGCCTTTAAAGAGGTGATTAAGGGGGCCGGCCCAGAGGCACAGCGGTTAAGTGCGCACATTCCGCTTTGGCGGGCCAAAGTTCGCTGGTTCAGATCCCGGGCGCGGACACGGCACCGCTTGGCAAGCCATGCTGTGGCAGGCGTCCCATGTATAAAGTAGAGGAAGATGGGCATGGATGTGAGCTCAGGGCCAGTCTTCCTCAGCAAAAAGAGGAGGATTGGCAGATGTTAGCTCAGGGCTAATCTTCCTTAAAAAAAAAGAAAAAGCAGCGATTAAGTTAAAATGAGGCCACTGGGGTGGGTCCTGATCCAATAGGACTGGTGTCCTTATAAGAAGAGATGGGGACACAGACACGCACAGAGGGACGACCACGTGAGGACCCAGGGAGGAGCCGCCGTCCACAGCCACGGAGAGAGGCCTCTGAGGAACCAGCCCTGTCGACACGGTGATCGCAGCCTCCAGCCCCCAGGCCCGGGATAGGATGAGTGTCCGCTGTGTAAGCCGCCCCGAAAGTGGCACTTTGCTCAGGCAGCCGGAGCTGACCGATACAGACGCACACCCCACGCAGGACGTGGGAGCCCGCAGACGCATCAACCACAGGTTTATTTTCTCCCAAGACGGTCGATGCGAAGTTGAATTGGGAAGAAAGACCGCCCCCCCCACACACACACACTCCCAGTTCGCTGAGCCCCGTGACCCCCGGGACAAGAAAAGGTGGCCCAGCTTGACCCTCAGGCCTTGTAATCATGGTGACCTCCGGCAGCTAATTCTCCAAAGACGGTCGAGAATTAGACCCGCGAAAGACACGGTTCTGCTGGAAACCGAATTCCAGCTCATTCCTGCCTCTGAAATCCGGAGTTTACCAAGGGGGCCCACTTCAGAGCGGCAAAGTGCACACCCGAAAGAGGATGGTGTTCTGGGCGTGAGCACGCACTCCCTCCCCAACTGGTGGAGCTCATCTTCGTTTGCACATCTATTGGGCCCAAGCCCAGGATCCGGGGGGCACAGAGCTGGCTGAGCCAGGTGCCCAGCTCTGGCTCCACACAGGGGGGGCCTTGTCTCAAGGTCTGGATCCTGCTTTGCCACTTCCGGTCTGCATGCCCTTTGAGCAAGTCACTTCCCTTCTCTCATCCTCAGTTTATCTAGAAAATTCCAATAACTTTCCTATGTGGCTCTTTTTACTGGCTGCATATTATTCCACCCACGGATGTGGTGTTGCTGTGTCGGCCACTGAAGAGGCTTCCCATCTTTTGCTCACAGAACATCCCCATAGCAACTATTCCATCCTAGGTCACTGGGTCCGTGTAGTACATATTTCCCCTGAATTCACTCCTGGGAGTGGAATCGGTGGGCTAAAGAGAACACACATGTGACATTTTGCAGACTGTTGCCAAGCGACCGTCAGGAAGAGGTCCTAACACATTTTCAACAACAAAGCATGAGATTTCTTCAGAGGCAAGGAGGCTGTATTTGCTACCACTCTAACAGAGAAAATTTCTTTTTTTTTTTCTTTTTGAGGAAGATTAGCCCCGAGCTAACATCTGCTGCCAATCCTCCTCTTTTTGCTGAGGAAGGCTGGCCCTGAGCTCACATCTGTGCCCATCCTCCTCTACTTTATATGTGGGACACCTGCCACAGCATGGCTTGCCAAGCGGTGCCGTGTCTGCACCCGGGATCCGAACCGGCGAACCCCGGGCCGCTGAGAAGCGGAACATGTGCACTTAACCACTGCGCCACCAGGCCGGGCCCCTAACACAGTAAATTTCTAAAGGAAGCCCTTCAGGACCCCAAATGAGCCGCAAACACTCTCTCAGCAGAGGCCTGATACAGGGCTCAGTTATTTACATTCCTTTCTGGTGACATCACGGGGCCGGCCAAGGCGGCTGGGCTGGGGAAGGCCGGCCAGCAGCAAACTCACCAAATAAGGTTTGAGACTCTGCCAAAAAAAAAAAAAAAAAAAAGGATGGTGCCTGGCTGGTCCGAGGTGGGGGGGGGGGGGGGGTAGTTCCCAGGGGGCTGCGAGGCCCGGCCAGGCAGGAAGTCAGCTGCCTGGCTGGAACGGGAAACCTTCTCTTTTTCCCACAAGAATGCTCAACAGTTGGCAGGGGTGGGGGAGACTTAAATGCCTCCCACACGAGAGGATTAAAGAGACAGACAGAGCTTCACCAGCAAAAAACTGCTAACCTCCACGGCGCTCACACCGCAGTTAGTGTCTCCCCAGAGGAAACGCACAGAGGACCTCAGAGCAGGAATTCACGGCTGGGGCTGTCTGGCCCCAAAGCCCAAACTGGTTCCCCCAACACAGAAGCCTGACTCATTCTCTCTTGGAGAACAGAACAAAGAACAGGAGGAGAGATGCGTCCAGAAAAGCCCCGCCGCGCCTCTCCCACCCCGCCGAGCCCCGCCAGAGGGGGCTGCTCACCTGCCCAGCTCCTCCCCCATCTCATAGTGGTCTTCCACATCTTCCTGCCTGAACGTGGACATGGTGGCCGGGCTGCCTTCCAGCACCTTCCGCTCCAGCAAAAGCCCAGTCACTGCAGCCTGGGGCCGGGACCTCGGGGAGCCCCCCTAGCCGTGAGCCTGGAGGAGACAGAGAAACAAGAAAGAAGGACTGAGATGCCATTACTCCTAGGTAAACGGGGCCACCTGCTCGCCAGAAATAGCTTTCACATCACTCCACGCTCAAGTCCCACGGTCCTCGGAGGGCGTGTGTGGTTTGGCGAGCCGGCCAGCTTCCAGTGGCATCTCATTTAGACACCACGCCACCCACAAGGTCGGTGAAAGCCCCACCGTGCCACCTTCGCCCCCATAACTCCCAGCAGGCACATACCTCCAGCTTCCCACACACCACCCCGGCCTTTCTCTGCCTTCCTCCAACCCGCTCATCGGAGACCCCAGACATTCCTGCAAGATCCCCCACACGCTTCATGCCTCAAACCCCGGCACGCCCTGACTCCCTGCCCCACGTCCTAACTAGTCCCAGGGCCACACAGTCCCATCTCCCTGCCCATCGGGGCCTCCGCCCCTCCTGGTCCTGATGCTGTCGCCCCACGGGCGCCCCGACCTCGGCAGGCCTCTTAAGACCCTCCTCAGCGCTGTGCTCCACCCCATCCTGAATCCCCAAGGACTAGACAACAGCTTCCAGGCTCCTGCAAGCCCCCTCCCCCCACTCCTGCGTCCCCCGGGCCACCCACTCCCGGAAGGCACCCCTCCAGGTATCAGAGCCCCCCACCCCCCCATTCTCCCGCAAACAAAGGGCCCTCGCAAAGGGCCACATCTGAGTCCCCTCCATGGCCTTTCGCCCGCAACCCTCGCACAAGCTCCAAGGAAGACCCCGATGACCCCTCCAGGGACCCTCCAAGGTCTTCCCCAATCCCTAATATCCCCGCTCAAGCGTCCCCGAGGCCGCCACGCCCCTCAAGGCCCCAGCCCAGCCCCTTCTCCGGCCCGGTCACGCCAAGGGTCCCCAAACGTGCCCCCGCATCCCCCAAGGGCCCCCCGCCCGCCGGCCCCGGGCCGAGTCCGCTCCGCACCCTCCGAGGACCGGTCCCTCCGCCGCGCTGGCCTGCGCCGCCTCCCCTGGTCCCGCCGCCGCGGCCCCTGCGACGGGCTGACCTGCTATGACGTCACCGCGCCCGCCAGTGCCCGCCCCCGGGAGGCGGATCCCACCGCCCATTGGTCAGCGAGCCCGTCGCTCGTGACGCCCCGCCCTCCGCCGCCTTCCCACCCAGGCCCGCAGGCGTCCGGCCCTCCGCACCCGGATGCCGCCTCGCCATTGGCCAACAGACTCCCCTTCCAGCACATGATTGGCTAGATTGGACGCCGGTCAAACTTACGTAGGCCGCAAGACCGACTTCCGGCCCCTGGGCAGCCCCGCCCGCTCTCCTCGGACCGGGGTCCTGAAGCTGGGAGGTGCGATGCTGAAGTCCTGCCTCCCTCTTCCTGCCTCTCTCGGGCGCTAAGGACGTGAATCCAAAGCCCAGCCAGGGACCCCCGGACCGCCTTAGTCCCTCAGTGGCAGTTTCCTCCTCTGTAAAATGTTACCCATATTCCAAATATGTAAATAAAAATGCAAATGAGGTCAGTCAGGTGTTGCCATTCATTGTTGAGCATCCGACTGTGACTCCTGTTGTCTCAAGACACATGATAATAACAGTTAGCATTTACTGAGCCTTAGTATGTATCAATCAAGAACCTTAGAAGCTAAGACATATTAATATTTCCCCCATTCTATAGATGGGGAAGTTGAGACCCAGAGAGGTTAAGCAGCCCACCCAATGTCACACAGCTGGTAAATGGCAGAGCTGAATCGTTCCCAGATACACCTGATCCTAAGCTAATGCTGAACCACCTCACAGGCCATCGGACACTAGACCTCGTCTTTTGGCCTCTGCCGATGGCCCTACCATCATGATGGTCTCCGCCTTGCTCACTGCAGTCCGCACCCATTTGTGATCCTTCTGGCCTCAGACATCTCATTTCTACCCCAGATCTTGGCATGAGCTATTCCTTCTGCCCGGAGACCGCCTTCCTCTGCTCTGGTCTACCTCCTGCGCGCACTGCATGCAGTTCACAGCGAAAGCAGCACCTTCTCCACACCCGGTTCCCCTGTGATTGCCTCTTACACTAGCATGGTGCATTTGTCACAACGAACAAACTGACAGTCACACGGTATTCTTAACCGAGTCCGTCCTTGACTCAGATTCCGGGTTTTTCCTATTGTCATGTTTCTGTCCCAGGATCCCACTCAGGATCCCACATGACATTTAGTCCTTTCTGCCTTTCCTGTTTTTGATGACCTCCACAGTTTTGAAGACTGGCTGTTTTGTAGAATGTCCCTCAATCGGGATGCATCTGATGGTTCTCTCATGGTTAGACTGGGGTGATGGGTTTTAAGGACGAGGACCCCAGAGGTAAAGCGGCCTTTTCACCCTTTCACGAGAGTCCATTCAATCCATGTCACATCACTGTTGACATTGACCTTGGTCACCTGGCTCCAGGCAGTGTTTGTCAGGTTTTCCCACTGGAAAGTTACTTTTTTTCCCCTCCCCTTTCCATACTGTCTTCTTTGGAAGAAAGTTATGTATGCACAGCCCACACTTCATGAGTGAGGGGTTGGGACACCATTTTTACTCGAAAAGACACCTGACAAACTGTAGCAATTCAGACTTGGGTATTTGGCAGACATTTTCTCAGAAATGAACAAATTGAGCCCGTCAATCACTTCGAGGGAAACAATTGACAATACTTGTCGCTGATAGTCACATTGGAGCTTTCAAGCAAAATATTAAAATTTTTGAAACCTGACAGCTTCCTGACACTTCAACACTGTCCTGATGAAATTGCTATTAACAAATGTGATTTCTGTGTTGTTTAATGAAGTGTGGCAACATGTGCAAGGGCTGCAAACTTGGTTTACTGCTAATATTTCCAGATAACAAATGCACGATGTTACAAAATTGAGTGGGGGGGGAAACCCATTCAAAGTGCAAGATAGACAAATGGATTTTAATGTAACAGTCATGAAAAGCTCATTGATATGGTTTCAGATACCACATTGTAATTAATCTTCAGTAAGCTAACACTTGTTGAGTTTTGGTGTTGTTTCAAAGAATGTCCACAATTATCTGAAAAAAAGTATGAAAATGCTTTCTCTTTTCCGAGTATAGGAATGAGTCAGGCTGGCTTCTCTCCAGACAGTTGAACCAAAACGATACAGCCTTTCAGATTTAATACAGAAATGGATATGACAATCCACTGTCTATTAACCCAGAGATTTCAAAGATTTGCAAAAATGCAGAACAATGCCACTCTTCTGTTTTCTGTTTTGTTTTGGAAAAGTTTTTCTTCCATAAAAATGTTACTTATGTTAAATGAGATGGGTTTATCATTTAAAAACAGTTTTTAAAATTTCTCAATTTTAATTTCTAAATATGGTAAATACCAGTCGATGTAACCCATTTAAACAAAAGCTATTTGTTTAAACAAAAGCTCGGTAATGTTTAAGAGTGTCTAGGGGTCCTGACACCAAAAAGATGAGAACTGCTGGCCTAGAACGGTCACAAAAATAATACAATTAAATCAATAAATGAAATGAACCAAATCTAGGTCGAGAGCAAAACACACACACATTTGTAACATGCCAATGCTCGGGTGTAATTACACAAGAAGCCACGGTGAAGTCATCAGATGTCAGCCCCCATAAATGGCATTGCTGGACGTGGCAGCTGTAAATGCACATTGACCCGGGGGGGCCAAATTAACAAGCCAAGGACCGCAAGCGGCACTGAGAAATTCTTGCAGTTCAACCAAACACAGTTCAGTCTTGTCTCGATTTATAGTCTCATCCCCAGCAAAATTACTTAGTATTAAGAACGCGCTGGGGCGGGCCCCGTGGCCGAGTGGTTAAGTTTGCAGACTCCGCTTCGGTGGCCCAGGGTTTTGCCGGTTCGAATCCTGGGTGTGGACATGGCACCACTCATCAGGCCATGCTGAGGCGGCGTCCCACATGCCACATCTAGAAGGACCCACAACTAAAAATACACAACTATGTACCGGGGGACTTTGGGGAGAAAAAGGAGAAATCTTTATTTAAAAAAAAATAAAATCTTTATTAAAAAAGAATGCGCAAAACTGGGTGCAATGTATCTGTCCTGCCTCGAATGCGGAAACGGAGCAAAGACCATGAGTGGAACAGGTAACGCCAGCATGAACTCTCAGGCAGCTAAGAGCAAGCTACCGACCTACTTCTCTGTTTTGACAGATGCACAGTACCCATGCAGGATGTTAACATCTCTCCACCGTCTTTGCAACTTTCCTGTAAATATAAACTTAAAAAACTTACGTGTTTTATAAAAACTGCAAAAAACACTTGGCATATGTCAAGCAACACTCGGCCGTTAAGTTGAGATCATTGCAAAGGCAGCTTTCCATCGCCGCCCACAACATCCTGCTGTCTTCCAGGTACTCGGCAGGACCTGAAGGCGAGTGTGCAGCGAGCCCCGGCTTCAGCAATCCTGTATCCGCGTGCCGTGGGGAATCTCCTCGTGCATGCACTTAGGGACAAGGGACTAGGGCCTGGGCTCCAGTGCGGGCTCCCCCACCATCACCACCTGGGGCAGCTGGGTTCTAAGTCTGCTCACATGGCAAGCGGGTTCATGATGACCCAAGGTCGTCAGTTGGACTAGAGACGGTGCCAACGATGGGCCAACAGCGATGGGCCAGCGGCCATCGGCGGACCCTCAGCATCCACCGGCCGGCTGTGCCCAAGGGAAGAGGTGGGTCTTCAGAGCTTTCCGAGGATGAATGTAGGGGACACGAGGATGGCAACTGTCACCTGGATCTGGGTCAGACTCTGATATTAACATAATAACATTCCTCCTGTTACTTTATATTGGGCGTTTTCTCTCCCATAAACACCCCTCTTCTAGAACTTTCTACGTGACTGGATATGCAGGCAGTTCAACTTCTGTGATCTTTCTTTACTATGAAAAATTGACTCCATTTCCCCTCGCTTTGGCTGGCAGGACGCAGCGCCAGCTACAGCCTTGATTCAGCAACTACAGTGAAATACCGTGGATACAACAGAGCAAGGGCACCCCGGACAGTCTGGGTGCGCATGGGCCACCCACCTCGCCAGGAGCCCCACCGCTACGGCCTGTCCCCGTCTTCCTGAGGACAGACAGGAACACGCGGAGTGATGAGCTCAAGCCTCAGGTAAGGTCTGCAGCTGCTCACACGCCCACCACACTTCCCGGGGGCCGCCTTCCAAAGGAGCGCCCGCTGCGCTGGTCTGGACCGCGGTGACGGGAGGGAGGCGCTCGGGGTGAGACAGGTTCAGCCACGTGGGGCCGTCCACACCTGCACGGACCGACGGCAGCCCCACAGACTACGGACACGCACTCGCAAGGCAAAGATGCAAACTCCAGCCCTCCACACGGCAAAGGGGACAGAACTGCCGTCACAAGTCCCACTGGAGGGGCCCGGCCTGGATCGCAAGTCTCCTGGATCTCGCCTCTGGGCGCGGGTCTGACGTCTGGACTGACGCCTCAAGGTCCCAGTGAACCCTCTGTATCGCGGCGTCCCTGGTGGCCACGCATGCGGGAACGGGGATGGAGAAAGAAGTCACGTGGACGTGCACGGTCACCACCATATCAAATTTATTACTCCAATGGCACTAACACAGCTGGAGGGGCTCACGGTGACCCCGCTCAGGGTCTCCCGCCTTCTAGCTTCTGTCCAAATGGAAAGTCTACCCGCTTCTTCCTTCCCCCCGTTTCTGGGGGAAAATCCACTACGGGCCATTTCCCCAATAAACCTCTTAATGCGTTTATTTTAAATTTCTTTTTTTAAGGACATGTGAGTCTTCCTCTGAAATGGGGAAAAAAAAAAAGTGTTGGGTGTCCCAACCCGCCTCCCCCACCCCCACCAGCCGAACCAGTCCCCGCTGGGAGGGCCTCTCTGCTGCGTCTGAAATCCCGAAATAAATTATCGAAGGGCCGACGTCGCGTGGGCACTGACGGTGGCACGGAGCGGCCCGCCGGGACAGTCTCGAGGTCGGTGGAGGACGGGAGGGCCGGGCGCGGGGGCTGAGGGCCGCCCGGCAGCGGGCAGGGCCGCCTACAGCTTGTCCAGGAAG